GACAAGACCAATAAAAAGGTGTGGGACTAGGGGTCCTGCACTATATATCAGATCAACAACACGTATTACAAAACGTGAAACGGAAAAACACATTTTTATATATATAATAATAAAAAACTTCAAAATAACAAAAATAAAAAATAAAAATGTTTAGAAAAAAGAAAACTAAAAAGGTTGTTCACGAGATTCCAAGAAATTTAAAAGAATTAGGTTATCAGATAAATGAGAAGGGACAATTTCTTACATTAAAAGGTAAACAAATGCATGTTATTATATTGATATATGTCATAATATACATATATACTAATTATTTTTGTTTTGTAGGAGAAATTTATAACTTTGATGTAAAAGAAAGATCATATAATGAAGCTTTATATGATGTTATAATTGGTATTTTACTGTTATTTACAGATTTGTTTATAAGAAACTTAAAACTAATTCTATAGATGTATTACACATATATTTATTTAGAACTTTTGATGGAATGGGTCGAAGAAAGATTACAGAATGATTTTGGATTACAAAAAATCTTGCTGCCTATTAATGCAACAAAAGATGATATTCATAGCAAAATATATGTTAGGTACCAAAGAAAAAAGAATCAACCTTGGTTTTTAATGTGGGTGAATTAAATAAGTTCTGATAGTTATTAATATAATTTTAATTTTGATAGTCCAGATTATCTTGAAAATGATAAAATGATGATTTTTATTCCTGGAACAGCTAATATGTAATGTTATACTTTCTAATGATATATATATACTTAACACATATATGTATGCACATGTTAATAATGCTTATTTATTAATCAATTTATCATTGACTGATTGGTTAGGATTGGATGTTGGTCGAGAAGAGTTATGATTGATGTATCAGTTAATGTTTGTAGATTCAAACAATTAATAATTGAATAATTGAATAGTTTTTGATAGATATGTGTATGTAATGTTAAAAAGAAAAATTTTTTTTTTTGGAATTAAAAAGGATGGATCAATGATCTCATATGTTAAGCGAGCAAGAGAAATGGGATTTTCAGTAATAATTGTTAATCCTAATGAAGTATTTTGGTATAAAGGAAAAGCAGTAGTACGTATTTTTCATATTATATTAGAAAATGATTAATTGTAAATCATAAAAATTAATTGTTGTTTCAGCACACTTTACCAAAGACAAATGTGCCATTTAAAATAATCATGGGTATATAATTATTTACAAGACTTATAATAATAAAAATCATCATTTTTTATTATTATATATTGACATTTACATTTACATATATTTAATAATTAGGAAGTGAGACACCAGAATCTCATACCAACTATGTTTTTGAAAATTTTGTCATGTAAGAAAATTTATGATTCTATCTTTCTGAAAATCTTGTTTTTAATGTATTTATTTACATAAATCTATATATACACATGTGTATATATATATAGACCATCATCTGCAAATAAGATTTTTGTGACATATGAGGTTATTGATAGAGTTTTTGAGCATGTTGCTAAGAAGTTGGAACAGTTGGAAAATGGAGCCACAGAATATAATGATGAAAATGAAGGAGATATAGAGGATGGATATTTGAGTGAGCCAAGTTATTTCCAAATACAATAATTAATGACGTACAAGATATAGTAGCTTATGGTTTTGGTGATGATGATGATGATGAGGGATCTGGTTGGCGAGATTAAAACAAACAAACCAACTATTATCTTTTTATTTCTTTAATATACATTATATATAACAAATAACAAAATTTTAAATCACATGCTTTATGTAAATCATTTAAAAAAAAATCTCTCGAAAAATTTTTTGTACAATAAAAAATTTGAATAGATTGAATATATTTTGAATTTATAAATAATCATATATAGTAGAAATAACATTTTTTATTATCACGACACTATTAAAAAAAATATATGAAAAAAGGGCCAATACATCATATCAAAGTAAATTATAATAATAACAATAATAATAATAATTAATATTAATGTTGTGTATTAATATAATAAATCAAATAGTTAGTGAAGCTTTAAAACC